TAGACACTGTAGCATAACGTTCAGATCACTTTCATTGTTAGCCAACAACACGATATCATCAGTGTAGGGCTAAAACGCTTACAGTTTGGTTCTCCACATCAACCCCAAGGCCCAGCTAATTTACACGTTGTATCAAGTCGTTGATGAATATATTGAACATCAAGGGAGATAGGAGACATCCTTGTCTTAGACCACAGTTAACATCGAACCACTCTGTAGTCATTCAGCCTAACACAGTATCGCACTGACTCATATAAGGAAGTAAGAGCATTTAACATATACCCTGTTATACCGAAATCACAAAGCTTGCTCCACATAGGTTTGTTTCCTGTCAGTGCAATCAGGGGCTTTTCTGAAATCTATAAAAGCGGCAAAGGTTTGCTTTCCCATACTTTTCCTGGTTTCAACGATGACAGTTAACGTGTAGATTTGCTCAATGGTAGACCTCTTTTTCCTGAAACCGTTCTGCTCGTCAGCGTTCTGCTCGTCCGGAGGGTTCCACGTGGTTAGTCAGCCTGTTATTAAGTACACTGCAGTAGAGCTTGTAGGAAGAGGATGTCGGAGTTATTCCCATGTATGACATAGGGTCACGTGGATCGTCCGTCGAAGATTTAGGGCTAGGATTGATTATCCCTTTATTCCACCCCAGAGACGTATTATCCAATCTGAAACAGAGGTTAAAGAGTTTGTGGAGGAAATGAAGACACGTGTCGTTCTTTAACACTTCCGCCGGAATGTCGTCACATCCCGTAGCCTTTCCATGCTTGGCCTGTATCAGTGCACGTTGTACCTCTTCCAAAGTGATAGCCGCGTTCAGGGTGCTAACATCCATGATGTCATCCGTGTTGATGGCGTCATTAGCTGCTAAAGTCACTCTCGGTGTCATCCTTACAATTTAAAAGACTGAAGTAAGCTGTCTCCCACGTCTTTAACACAGTCTTCGTATCATAGGAAATTGTTCCATCCTCTCGCTTCACTTAAATTGGGATTCTCTTCTTCCTCTCATTCGCTATACCGATGTGGCCTATTTCCGTCCATATGAGCGAAATATTCTCAAACACAGAAGTCGCTGGTACCGCTGTACCACTGTCACACATCTCCTCCAGTCTTGCAAGTGTATCTCGCACATGTTGACGCATGGCTATCTTCACACCACGGTCAATCACCTGACGTTTCCGAACACAAAAACTCTTGCGTTCCCTCCTCCGATGCCCTTTACACTTACACCACTCGCGTTCAGCAGCGCAGGTGACATTCCATTTGCCAGTAAGGTCTTCATTCCACCGTGGTTTCTTCACCCGTCTATTATTTCTAAATGAGCTCACCACGATACGCCTTGTAGGAAGTTTATCATACATTTCTGCCATCTGTAACTCTGAGCTGTCAGCATTTAGTAAGATGTTCGGTTGAGTATCGTCATTGGCTTCTGTGACGTCATACCATATACAAGTTCAACATACCAACTTAGAACCGAGTGATCAAGTTAAGAGGTTGCTGGTGCGTCCACAGTTCCCACCAGATTCAGTTTATCAATGAGGTCATTTGGACGAATCACCTGAAACTGCTGAATATTGTCTAACTTTTCATAATAGCATAAACAATACAGAAATTATTTATTTATTTATTTACTTATTTATTTATTTTATTTTATTTTTATTTTTTTCATACCTATACATTAAAATAAAATATATATATATATCATGCTACCATGGTTACCATGCAACTATCCTTGAAGGTCCTTCTTTGCTCAGTGTGTGTTCATTGAGGTGATCATGGGTATCTCGAACCCATCACAGCTTGTGTACCAAGATATCTCATACTGTTGTACAGTTTTTGAGTTCATGTATTCAACAGCAAATAATAAAAAAAAAATAAAAAAAAAAATAAAAATACAGAAGTTGTCAATCCCTAAAAAACGTTCTTGTTCGCCTTTAAATACGTTAAATGCTTTCACTATACCTTTAAATGTATCGTACTACTTAAAGTCTTTGCGCATGTCCCATAAATGCAACTAAAATCGATCCGTCTAATATTCATAAAAAAACATGAATATTTTGTTTTATTTGTTGTCGATAAGATCTTACTGCCCTCTGCAGCTGTTTCACAAGCGCTATTAACACTGCATGTCAGAGACTCTGTACCTCATAAAGCCATACATCCCTGGTAGCTTATTTTTTGTTTCCATACTTAGTACACCCTTGCGAAATATTCTATAAATCTTAGAATGTTATCTTCAGTGTTGCTTCAATGAACCCAGCAGACAATCCAATCATTTTATGTTTCGCCTGTGGCTGTGTACATCAGCATTTGAAATTTGCACTCTTCCGGAATGTTTTTTTGAACCTTTCTTCATATCATGCACTTTCCTCACGTTTTTTCACACGCGAGAGAAAAATAAACAGGGGCGACTCCAATATATGTATAATTACCTACTCATCGATGGTGACCAGTTACCGTGTGTCCAACCTGGATAGCGGACAGAAGTCTTTCTCTGTCTACTGCTGGCGCATGTCGGTTCACGATGACTTCACGCAGAGCAGCGTTTCTTTCGTAACACCTTTGTTGTGATCATCACGTTATACAGTGAGTGAGTGAGTATGGTGTTACGCCGCTTTTATCAATATTCCAGAAATATCACGGCGGGGGACACCAGAAATGGGCTTCACACATTGTAACCATGTGGGGAGTCGAACCCGGGTCTTCAGCGTGACGAGCGAACGTTTTAACCACTAGGCTACCCCACCGCCATCATGGTATACAGATATGATAACACAGACTAAGATGGTCGTCTGGTCAAACTGTAAGTTTTCATCACCTAAAATGACATCATTGATATCAACTGAAAACTGACGTTGAGTTTTGTTTTGTGGTTTCTATTTTGCGTTGTCAAAATAGTTTTCTTTTTCATCTTTCTTGTGATATGCTTTCATTACAAATTCAAACATTAGTATCTACCTGTTGGTAATGTGATGATTGGAGACCAGTTATAACAGGAGTGTGACAACAAGGGATGTTCTGGAGCGATTGCGGGTATTAGCTGGTCGCCAGACAACTCTGCAGCGGTGAATATTATACACCCGAGAATGCCTAACGGGTTCCTTAGCCGCTTTTCGATTTTCTGTTCCCGAATATTGACTCCTACACAATTATCGTAGTGCAATTACGGTCGTTGACTGTTTGGACAATAGGGTTCTTCTGCAAGAACAGTTCCTGATTATATGTGCAGGTGAATATAAACATCATACATCAGCCCAAGAGATCAAGATGCAGATAACGATATAGGTATATAGAAGTAAATGACAAAGAAGGAGAATGGAAGTGTCATTACAAATGCCCCAGGTAGACAAAACTAATTATTCCCCCTGAGCTAGTAACGAGTCCAAGTACGTCAGTTATGGTGACACACCTTGGAAGGAAGATGGCACTTAGACAGTTGATGGTGACTGCTTCCCTCTTACTGGTATCCGCAGCCTACAGTGAGTACCTTATCAACTTTCATTTTCAAAGATGATACCTGTTGCATTCTTTTCAGCTTGTGGTTTTATACGTTGATACGCAAAAGGCGGGGCCTGGGTATAACAAACTAAATGAAAATATGGAGCCCGGGAAACTGGAAACCTCTTGATCAATTGCAAAGGGCGTCATATGTACAAAGTTTTCTATAGCTGTTTATTTGTTGTTGTTTTAGGTTTTTTCGTTTAAGTTATCGAAATGTGTCTAATTCAGGGAACTGATCGAACACCCACTTGTATTGGAAATACAGAAAGTGCTTCATACCATGGTAGTGGAACGCTCCTTATAGTGTTTCCAAATGTCAGTTCTAAAGCTGTCCTCATCCCATTAATTCAGGCAGATCTTTGAGAAAGGTTACCCGTTTTGACCACAGGGCAGAACTAATCCCAAGAGTCGACTTATCTGGATCGGATTGATATTAGGAGTGACCGATTTCAGCTTCTAATTTTATCTGGCGCTTGGCGACGAAATATGCGGCCTAAAACGGTTTACTGCCTTGTTTTCTCAGGAATCTGGAGCGAATATGACCATGTGTGTTATAGCTGATTGATTTAAAACTCGACAAAAGACAAGCATATCTGTTCTGCTGAAACAGTTTAGTTGGTTGATGTGTCATTTATGATGAGCTATTACGGTAACAGTAGGCATACAAATTAAAAATATAGACGACCACTAGGAAAGATCCGGATTTTCCGTCCACTTAATACCACAAATACGCCCCTGGATAGTGGTGAAATGTTTTACAATTTATATTATCGATTCGCTAGAATATTTGTTTCCTGAACACAGAGGACAAACGTACTAACACTTACTTCATTCGATACAGAAGAATTGTGCTTCACTCGATATAAATATCGGTTTAAACGATCACTGAAGTTAACAAGTGTCCGGGCTGTCTGGGAGTGAAATAAGGTTACTCCTCTGTTTTATATGTTCTCGTGTTTTCATAATTTTAATGTAATTTCAGTATTACGAAAGAAACGCATAGCATTGCTTTGTATTTCCATATCCCCAATGTTATAACTAAAAACATTAGTCATCTGTGACTTATATTGCTCATATGTAAATTCAGAAGCCGTTATCGATTATCTAATAGCGTTATAGTTGAACTGTCCAATGACAAGGTACCCGATACCTCTTTCCATTGGAGCCGTTGCGGTTTCCATAATATCACATGTGAGTGAGTGAGTGAGTGAGAAGGTGAGTGAGTGAGTGAGTGTTGTGAAATAAGGGAATATTTCCAGTGTCGTGAACAAAGGTTCAACATAGACAAGGCTGTCTGGACATAGTTCATCTCTTGGTCATCTCTTGTTACGTGCTGGTCAGACAGTAGTGAAAATAAGTTTAAGACATATAATAGGGAAATCACACGGTCGGTCCCTCGTACTATGAGTACGTTTTAATCAACTTTGAAATCAGTTTCAGGTCAGAAGTATCTGTTCAGAAAAACAACGGATAAACATTGTGATGACGATCAGGAAGACAAGATGGCAGCGTGCTCTGCTTCTGGTAAGATTAGGATGATCTCGTTTAACAGTTATTAATCCGTCTTAATAGTTTAAGTTTCAAGTGTCATTCGTGATGTACGGAATTTTGTCAGACGGTCCTTGCACGTACCAAGGCCGAGATTCTGGTGACACTGTAACCAATTTTTCACTATACACAGATATCTGTCCTTTCGGTGGAATATTCATATGCACAAAACGATATACTCGATCATATCCCGTTGTCGTTCAGTTAGGCAAAAGGTAAGTTTCAGTGCGAAAAGAGTTACTTCCCTTTAGAGACATGGCGTTTGTGCAACTCATCACAACCCAGGAATATGTTTTGAAGATCATGCTTATATTATGCATTTGTGCATTGTTCAACAACCGATTATTCCTTATCCAAATGACCTTAAATATGTTCGTAGCACCGTGCCATTGTTTTCGGTACTCGTATAGGGATGGTGGCTGATTAGGGCCATCGCTTTCTCGCCTTATAATTCTCTCGCGTTATCGCTTTCTCGTCTCATGCTATCGCTTTCTCGTCATGTGTTATCGATTTCTCGTCTCGCGTTAAAGCTTTCTCGTCTCGTGCTATCGATTTCTGGTCTCGTGTTATCGATTTCTCGTCTCGCGTTGTCGTTTTCTCGTCTCGTGCTATCGATTTCTCGTCTCGTGTTATCCCTTTCTCGTCTTGTGTTATCGCTTTCTCGTCTCGTGATATGGCTTTCTCGCTTTCTCGCATCCGAATTTTAAGGCGAGAAAGCGATGGCCCTAATCAGCCACCATATATAGGCAGGCAGGTCGACTTAGTGGGTTGACTATGCCCAATGTTGGCCAATCAGAAATCTATGTTCTCTGTGTATAAAACTATTTGCACAAATTAATGCTAATCACTTTTTATGTCCGTAAACCCGATTTAAGATATTTTAAGATACACACACACACTTTACTACAAACTTTTAACATTGACATCTTGTCATTATGTGCTAAATATATCAAAGGTATTCTATCTATACCCTCTTCAACAATTGTATGCTAACTGCACCTTAACTGGACTGTTTACCGCTTGTTGTACTGCCATTTTGTACTATACTGTACATGGGCCCCTGCCCTTATTGCTACGAAGTCATAACGTCATGTATCGCCAACTTAAAATCAATCTATTAATGCGTAGTTATATATTCACAAATCATTACATAATCAAAATAATGAAACGACTCCTAGTCCAATTGAATTTTTAACTCTCTCGGTGTTGTAAATTCTATTAGTTCACAATGCATGCATGTAACTATCGTACGATTATATACACTTTCCTATGGACACACACTTCAATATCTGTGCAGCGGTTACAAACAATGTTCCATATTTTATTATTTTTGTACCGGCATGTACTGTTTCTGCTCTATGGTTATTGCAGCAGCAATTAATGAATGAAAACTGTCACAAAACCTGATTTCAATAAACTGATTTCACTGGCACATAAACATTATATTCTGTTTTCAGACGGTGTTAACAAATTTGGGTTTCCCACTAAAGTTGATGATGTCACTTCCGGAGGTAGTATTTCCGGTCTCGCCGCCAGCAGAAGGCATGTTGGTTTCATATACGCCGTCTCTGACGTGGCAACAGTGAATGTTGTCAGAGTGTTGAACCTCGAGGGACAAGTTGTCGGGAACATAACCATTTCCAATGCCATCAACGTCGACTGGGAAGACGCTGCAGTCGGAAACTGCGTCTTTAATACTTCGACGACATGTCTGTACATCATGGACGCTGGCGATAGTACCATTCCTCCAGCCAACATCATCTACATAGTACAGGAACCAGCTGCCATCACTGGGATGCAGTCGGTCACGACTGACATGATGATTGATTTTAAGTAAGAAGCACCAATTTTATTTATTTCTGTTTCATGTATATTTTCTGCAACTATTTGAACTACGCGAATAAGATGGTCGATCATCTCAAACAGCCGCTTGTGTTAGTTACAAATACAGCCGTCCTGCCTGATCCTTTTCCTCAGCATTCACTGGACTGGACTTAATTTTACAACCTTTCAGAGCATTTTCTTGGATCCTGCACAGTGAAGTACAATGACGTTTGAACCCTTCTACCATGTTGTGACCCGTGAAGGTCCGGGTTAGAATGAGCCTCGAGTAACCCATGCTTGTCGTAAGAGGCGACTAACGGGATCGGGTGGTCAGGCTCGCTGACTTGGTTCACACATGTCATCGGTTCCCAATTGCGCAGATCGATGCTCATGCTGTTGATCACTGGATTGTCTTGTCCAGATTCGATTATTTACAGACCGCCGCCATATAGCTGGAATATTGCTGAGTGCGGAGTAAAACTAAACTCACTCACTCATTCTATCATGTTGTCATTGCACTTGTTAGAAATAGGGCGTTAGCAATCAGCTGATTGTCTGAATACTGAATGTACTTGACATACGAACAGTACTGAAAGGAACACTTGTTTCAAAGGGAATACTTTTGCGGATGTTTGGTGGAGTTTGAAGGTCAGGGTCACTACTAACGAAACGTAAGATTAACCTCAATAAGCTATTCACCTATAATACCTTAAGTACCTGTCTAACAAAGGCAACAACAGAAAAGGCGTTTGTTAGAAAAGTTCGAAATATATATGCAAAAAAGGCAGTGGCCACAAACAATTAATGTGTCATCTCGGGTAGGTCATCATGTATGCAAGATTTCATATGGAGAAAACACAAAGAATATGGTTGGAAGCACTATTTTTAGGAAGACAGTTTCTTCTCACTAAAAGCGTCCAAATCTTGTCCATATTCATTAGATCATACCAATATAATTATTTACGCATATATTCGTGAATCACTATCAGTGATGATATTGGATGTTTACGAAAGGGTAAGCTTAGCCTCCTGCCCCAGTCGCCTCCATCACAAGGAAAAGTAATAATTTACTGTAAAATTATTTGGAACCTCCACATTGTCTTTGGATGTTGTATGCCTGTCGTGATCAAACAGGTTTTGAGCAAACGTCGGTTGATGCTTTTGGATATTGCCGGAGAAAGAGCATGGAGGATTATACCTCAATAGTTTTGAAACGTAGACACCCAAAAATATAATAGGAAGGTGAGCTGGCGCTGTTTCACCCATTGCTTTCTCTCGATTCTCTAAACGATCTGACCAGTATGACAATAGCTAGCTGCATTGCCAAGAGAGGGTGTTATAACTGATATTGTTGAATCTGAAGTATACGTTCGTTGCACCACTAGTTGAACTCGATCACTGGTCGAGACTGGTTTGATGAGCACGGTGTTCGGTGTATGATGTTTTGATTAGATGGTGTAGTCTGCATGTTGTTTGTGATGAGCTGGGTGTGTTCCCGTAACTTTCGAAACAAACATGGGACCTTCTATGCTGATGCCGCTATAGCACGCTTCACTTCATTCCATGAAACAAGACCGCCTCCGTGGTGTAGTGGTTAGAGCGTTCGCCCGGAGAGCGGAAGGTCGCGGGTTCGATCCCCGACCGCGTCATACCAAAAGATGTTAAAATATGGTACTTGTTGGTCCCTGCCTGGTGCTCGGCATTAATGGGCACAACAAGGACTGGTCGGCTCGAGTCAGCATAATGTGTCTGAGTAGGGTATTCATGCTTCACTGCGGCATGGTATCTCAGTGAGCTAGCACTATAAAACCAGTCTGGGCTAGTACAAGCAGACGCACATACACATACACATACGTCATATGAGGGAAATATTCTCAAGCACGACGTTAAACCCTATTTCACCTCACCTCACCATGAAACAAGGTCTCTGATGTCTTCTGCCAAACATACGAGTTGAGGTTTCAAACCTTGGGGTGTCATCAGGTCAGCATCCGACAAGGACAGGCCTGAATATGGAGGAACAGATGGGGGATGGAATTATTTGTGAAGTATTTACGAACACATATTATTCTTCCAGCGAGAGCTCTTCTTTCTGAAAGATTAACAAAACTGTAAAATAAATATTGTCTTTCAATATAATAAGACCATGAAACCAACATGTACCCTTTTACATACAGCGGCTGGAACAATGGCGACTGCTGCACGGAGACGTTGTTTGTTGATTCAGACGCCAATATGTACTTCTTCAGCCGTGAGCCCCGAGGGGTAAACATTGGTCTGTACAAACTCATCAATAACGATGGTACATGGGGAACCCAAAGAGAGACAGTAGTCACCCTCCCTTCCACCAACACAGGTAACCAATGCCAACGATATTTTTAAACAAAATAATAAAATACCCTCCCGCAAACCAACACAAGTAACCTTCGTAACCCGCATATGAACGACAGACAACAGGTTTCCTCATTCTCTACCAAAATAAGTAATCGGCGCCCACATAAAAAAATGACACAATTACACACCATCAAAGAGCCCAGATACCAGGTGTTTATCTCACATTAACAAAACACAACAATCACCCTTCCACCCAGCAATGAGTACCCAATGCTCATGATCACCTACACAATAGCAATAAACAATAGTCACCCTTCCATCCAGCAACGGGTACCCAATATTCATGGTCACCGACACAATAGCAATAAACAATAGTCACCCTTCCATCCAGCAACGGGTACCCAATATTCATGGTCACCTACACAATAGCAATAAACAATAGTCACCCTTCCATCCAGCAACGGGTACCCAATACTCATGGTCACCTACACAATAGCAATAAACAATAGTCACCCTTCCATCCAGCAACGGGTACCCAATACTCATGGTCACCTACACAATAGCAATAAACAACAGTCACCCTTCCATCCAGCAACGGGTACCCAATACTCATGGTCACCTACACAATAGCAATAAACAATAGTCACCCTCCATCCAGCAACGGGTACCCAATACTCACGGTTACCTACACAATGGCAATAAACAATAGTCACCCTTCCATCCAGCAACGGGTACCCAATACTCACGGTTACCTACACAATAGCAATAAACAATAGTCACCCTTCCATCCAGCAAAGGTTATCCAATATTCATGGTCACCCGCACATTAGCAATAAACAATAGTCACCCTCCATGCAGCAACGGGAACCCGATCTCAAGATCACCTGCACATTAGCAGTAAACAATAGTCACCCTCAGTGCAGCAAACGGGTACCCAATACTCATGGTCACCCGCACATTAGCAATAAACAATAGTCACCCTCCATGCAGAACCGGTTACCCAATACTCATGATCACCGACACAGAAACTCACTCAGACATAAAATAACACGTAACTTTCACTCTCCCATCAAAATGACACTGGTGCCCCTGAACGGAGCTTATAAATTTTCAACATTTTCAAATGCCTACAGATACCACTGAATGCATGAACATTATTGCAGCATGGTGGACATGTTGGACAGTGTTTGTTAGGTTTACATGTAAACATTTAATACTGGATTTCCTGCAGGTCCGGATGGCGCTGACCTGTCCCCGAGCGGAGAGGAACTCCTCGTCCTCTTCCACGACACCGTCTACCACTTCCATGTGGCAAACAACGACGTAAAGGCGGCCTTGACCGACGCCGCGAGTCTCCTCCCCTCGGTGCCTGACCCTAGTGGAACTAGTATCGCTTGGGCTACTGATACATGCGGCTACTATACCTCCACCGAGGAAGATATCCCTGTTCTTCGCTTCAGTGACCGAGTTGCCGCTGATGTCTCTCGTGGTTCGTCTATAAAATGTTCGTCTTGATAAGAAAATCCAGGGTATGAGATCCAACAGTGATGCTGTCCTTGGTGTTTGTGGCTGCACGTTGTTACATAATTACAGACAAGTGTGAAGTCCATTTCAGGTGTCCCCGCCATGATGTCGCTATGAATATTGCTAAAAGCGGCGTAAAACTCAGCTCAGTCAGTCACTGATTGACCTTACCTTAATCTCACCTTGACTTGATTGTCTTTCAGCTGCACGATTCAACTTCGGCAAGGTTGTTGGGCAAATCAACAGTCCTTCCCATGGCGATGTCACGGGAATAGCTTTCAGCAAAGACCACCCCGGGTACATCTATGCCATCAACTCTGGTACCACGGGACAAACGTTCATCACTGTTTTCCAGACTTCCAATGGTTACGTCGTCAGCGTGATTTTGTTATTCTCCGCCACGAACACGGACTGGCAGGATATCGCAGTGGGGCCAAGGACGTCAGGGGGACAGAACTACATCTACATTTTGGACGGAGGTGGGTTATCCAATGTACGATATTTAGTATTCGTAACAAGACATATTTTAGTTTTAAACTTAAAAAAAATTAACATGTCAAATGTCCGATTTGAGGAGGGACAGAGAAAAAGCTCTCGGAGTAATGGACAATGGGCACACACATCTAACACCGTTCAAGTCCAATGAAACGCTACATAAATGGTGTGATTAAACACACCCTGCTTCAAGACAAGCAACAACTCTCCTGCTCACAGAAAAGGTCGCTCATAATGTTAATGTGGCAGCAGTACGCATTCGTGTAAAACATAAGAACTGATATTAGTATCTCCTTTGTATTTTAACATACATCGACAATTTCTGTTTACCGTCTAAAGAAGGACAGTATGAATTACCAACATCATTCATTGCACGTTACCGACATCCAGACTTTGGGTTACCGACATCCTCGCGCGATTTTAAACATGTTTATTCTTCAATACATAGGCATCAATAAGCAAATTCAGTGCATTCAATATATTCACACCAACAGAGTTTATCAGTGTGCTAAATTATTTTGATCGTATACATGTGGAAGACTGCTAATTCGTGGGAAATAATCGCCAAGGATCTTACCTGCCGCCATGTTGGGATGCTGCGTTCTTAGCATCACCCTAAGTACCGTGATGATGATCTCCGGGTTCCATGTTGGGATGCTGCGTTCTTAGCATCACCCTAGGTACCTTGATGATGATCTCCGGGTTCCATGTTGGGATGCTGCGTTACCAGCATCACCCTAGGTACAGTGATGATGATCTCCGGGTTCCATGTTGGGATGCTGCGTTACCAGCATCACCCTAGGTACAGTGATGATGATCTCCGGGTTCCATGTTGGGATGCTGCGTTACCAGCATCACCCTAGGTACCGTGATGATGATCTCCGGGCTCCATGTTGGGATGCTGCGTTACCAGCATCACCCTAGGTACCTTGATGATGATCTCCGGGTTCCATGTTGGGATGCTGCGTTCTTAGCATCACCCTAGGTACCGTGATGATGATCCTCGGGTTCCATGTTGGGATGCTGCGTTACCAGCATCACCCTAGGTACCGTGATGATGATCTCCGGGTTCCATGCTGGGATGCTGCGTTACCAGCATCACCCTAGGTACAGTGATGATGATCTCCGGGCTCCATGTTGGGATGCTGCGTTCTTAGCATCACCCTAGGTACAGTGATGATGATCTTCGGGTTCCATGTTGGGCTTTATGTTATTTGTTGTACAGACTCGCCGACCAAGAATTTCCAAATGTGAAATATAACAGAATGATGAGATTTCGTCCCCCCAGCCCACTCTGTAACTTATTTCAGTATAAAAGATCGTCACTTAACTAAAAGAAATAATTGTATCAACGTTTGATGATTCAAACGTTTTTAACTGTTATTATTACCTATAGTTCTTTAAACGTCATTGTTGTACTATAAGTGACCTTTGTCGACTCCAAAATAAAATAAATGTATGTATGCTCTCGACTCACTTGATAAAAGATAAAATGCAGTTCTTGTCCGGAACCCCATGCCAATTGGCCCAATGACCATGTAGTTTTAATATATACCCAAACCAAACTGTACATACCCATAGATCCAGATGGTGATACGTCAGCAACAATATACCACCGTCCTAAGTACTAACTGTACTGCAGTGTTAATCCTATGGAGGACCACAACGTACCACGTGAATTTACGTGGAGCATTACTTTTGACTTTGTGTATATAAATTTTGATAGTCCTCAGCTCATAGGATACGGACGCCTCTGTTCACATATTTCTGAGTGTAAAATAAAACATGGATTTATTAACTCCAAGTGTACATAAATGCCACCCAAAATAAGAGATCGTTCTAGCAAGAGTGATCTAATGGATATGTTTTCATTGGCTGATATGGCTTCTTCTGCAGGGGAAGCTAATGGCGGTCCAGCTCGAACCATCATCATGGTACCAGAACCTGACAACATCAGAGTCAGCCAAGTCATCGACGTCAGCGCAGATAACATATTCGTTTACAACATGTAAGATGTAGAGAGTGAATGTTGGCTTAAGCCGCGCCAGAAACTGAGAAGCTATTTGTGGTTATAGTTTACAGTACATGCACCTACAGTGAAACATTGTGATGACGTGTCCTTAAAAGTAAGCTAAAAGTCCCTGCTTCTATATGCTTTACGTTGAGATAATATTGTTCAACGCGTACGTTTCGTCTAACAATAATATGAAACGTCAACTCAAGAGAATAGCCTATTTGGATTCAGACAAAACGTAATCTTAAGGTGACAATTATAATGACTGATAATTAAAGATGACACCAGGTGTTGTCGGATTGCCCTGATCATGCGTTAGAATCCCGTTAATCCCGGTGAGTTTACACGTCCTGTCCCTCTGTATATTACATAACACTGTATATAAGATGCAACACACACATGGGACTAGTTCTATCACTATAATGCACCTGTAGAGTGGTGCTATTTCATGAACACCACCTAGAAGTCATTTGTAATATGTTTGTTGGTCGTTGCACTCTGTTGCAGTAGAGCTATGCGACGGTCAGAAAATAATATTGACCAATCAATCAAGAGACGTTAATTGGTTGGATACGATGCCATGCATCAATCAGGTGGCTCATCACTACCCTGTGGGCGTGGATTCAAATCCCGGTTCATTGTTTAATTGCCAGATCCATTAACTATGGTGTGTTCGTCACCAAGGAGACCCGGGTTCGATTCCCCACGTGGGTGCAATGTGTGAAGCCCATTTCTGGTGTCCCCTGCCGTGATATTGCTGGGATATTGCTGGAAGCAGCGTAAAGCCATACTCACTCACTCACTCACTCACTAGTCTGTCATCACCGTCGGTTGCTACACCAACGTGGTAAACTTCAGAGATGTGCATCACTCACTCACTCACTCACTCACTCACTCACTCACTCACTCACTCACTCACTCACTCACTCACTCACTCACTCACTCACTCACTCACTCACTCACTCACTCACTCACTCACTCACTCACTCACTCACTCACTCACTCACTCACTCACTCACTCACTCACTCACTCACTCCTCACTCACTCACTCACCACTCACCCACCCACCCCCTCACCACCCACCACCACCCCCACCACCCACCCACTCACTCCTCACTCACTCACTCACTCACTCCTCACTCATCACCGTCGGTTGTTACACCAACGCAGTAAACTTCAGAGATGTGCATTACTTTGGGCTTTCCTTCCCTAGCTTTGACCTACCGAAAACAACATTATTGTATATACCTTTGTATAAACTTTGTGAACCGACCAAAACTTTGAGCCAACTGTTTGTGTCATTGATTTCGTAAAGATATCAACAGTTGTTTTACAGGTAATGATTTCATAAATAGACTATTATTGTTGAGATTTCTATTTATAAGTATTGTTGGGGTATATATTTATAAGAACTCCTTTCAAGGTAGTTTTACCACTGATGAGTATTTAACGCTGTCTTCCCTCAGGCCGGTGGGCGTGAGTCATGCTCTCGCAGTGACCAGCAGCGGCCGCATCTTCATTACCAACTACCAGGATACGTACGAGGAGACTGTGACGATGTATCAGCTTGTTAACACAGACCCTCAAACCCTCCTGCCTGTTGAAATTGGCTCCTTCCCCCATCAGTCCTCCCAGAGCGGTCCTGAGAGTCTCGACGTCGCTCCTGACAACAGCTTCATCCTCGTGAAGAACAGCGACGGCGTCTTGTTGTTCCCCGTCAAAGACAACGACTTTCCCACCGCAATTACAAACGTCAATGTCACTCGCCTCCCCTACGTGGCTGAGACAAATGGATTCTCCGTCGCCATAGCACCAGACAGTAACAGCTACTACACGTTTAGTAATGATCAACCACCGAAGCTGAAGCGGTATGATGCTATTTCAGCGTGTGCGAAATCGTCGTCCCCGCCACCTGGATACGTCCCACGTAACCGGTTGCGTTACCGTGTACCCCCTCGACCACGCTATCCTATTCTCTACAAATCACGTGGGGAAACACGTCAACCAGCGCGATACGTGTGAGATAGAACTGCTCCTGTTCTTAAATAAATACCTATGCCTTCGTATCGTGTTATTTTGTTTCGCAACATGGCATCCATTTTCTTTTGAACATGTGCCCTGTAAGGCGCCTCATCATGCTTGCAGAGTTGCATCCCTTTGGGTCGACGTCATCCAGTGCATGTAGGTTCGAATCTCGTTTCGCCCACATTATGTACCTTGGTTTACCAGCATCATACCCGTGCTTGTGAGTGTCACCTGCGTGGTCAGAGTTTGACAAATGCATGACTTCGGGTTTTTCTCCCACATTATGCAGATACGCCGTGGGGTACACAGAACACTGTCCTAAGGTGAGTATTGATCCAATCTGTATCGCACACTCTTTTGCAACCCCTGGTACCCAATGCGAACGTATATCCTGCCCTACCCCTCAGCACTTGCCATTCACGAAATGTCCTAAAATGAATGTAATATTTGCCTGACGCCGTGCAGTGTTACTCCTGCCATGAGACGGCAGTCTGTAAACAAACCAGACAATCCAATGATTGATTGACTAGAAAAGTCATTCATACAATGGGTAAATTACGACTACTGCGTGAAAGTACATACATTACCTATAAGTAAAGAGAGTATTTTTTATTCAAACCAGGGCCTCCTTTCACAAAGCACTAAGGTGATCGTAAGTCACTAAGGTAACCCACGTGCAGCGTTAAAGAATCGGAGTTAAGGTTAAGGTTAACGTGAAAGGAGCCCCAGATCCACAGCATTTTTTTCACATTATTTAATAATCAACGTCTGTTTAAGGATATGAGCATGGCATTATGGAATATAGTAATGTTGAGACATTTAGGGTAGTGGAAGTCAGTATACCATTGTCGTTTATCATGTGGACACCTATTGAAAGGCATGGAACAGGAACGGGCAAGTGTGAAACACTGGAAAGACCTCATGCTCTTTATTGACCGTCCAATAAAGTCACAGTGTGCTGTGATATGTTCTTAATGATATGCTGGCATATGTCCGAAATCAGCTGGGTGTGTTTCGAATCCCAGAATACCCCTGATAATTCGTCAGTGTGTCAGCTCACTTTACTGTTGTAGACGTGTGAGACCTGCATCGGGTGTTCATCACACATCAGGTCGGCATTCAGTGATATAACTGAAACACTATGACGAGTTGTTAAAAGTGAGTCAGTGAGTGAGTGAATTTAGTTTTACGCCGCTTTTAGCAATATTGCAGCAATATCACAACGGGGTACACCAGAAATGGGCTTCACACATTGCACCCATGTGGAGAATAGAACCCGGGCCTTCGGCGTGTGGACGCGAACGCTTTCACCACTAGGCTTCCCCGGCGCCCTGCTGTTTAAAGCCGTGTGTAACCAAACACCAAACTTGCAGTTGAACCAGGGTTTCACGCTGCTGAATGTTGCATTGCTTGTGTACGATGTGCATTGTATGTACATGCTACACCTCCGAGGAATAAATAAAAAACGGGCCAAGGCTAGGTCACTGTTTACGTCACGTGTTCCCGGAGTCACGACCCGGTCTTCCCAAGGACACTGTGTCTCACATTTGACACTGTTATAGCGAGGTGCATGATGCACTTCATGCACCTTAAGCTCGGAGCTAAAAGTTCAAAAGTCTCTTCCCAGAAAGTTAGAAAAGTTCCTGGAGCCCAGTAACATTCAGTTCACGTTAGCTTACGTTACAACCTGGAGCCCAGTAACATTCTGTCCACGTTAGCTTACGTTACAACCTGGATCCCAGTAACATTAAGTTCACGTTAGCTTACGTTACAACCTGGAGCCCAGTAACATTCTGTCCACGTTAGCTTACGTTACAACCTGGAGCCGAGTAACATTCAGTTCACGTTAGCTTACGTTACAACCTGGAGCCCAGTTACATTCTGTTGACGTCAGCTTACGTTACAACCTGGAGCCCAGTAACATTAAGTTCACGTTAGCTTACGTTACAACCTGGAGCCCAGTAACATTCTGTTGACGTCAGCTTACGTTACAACGTGGAGCCCAGTTACATTCAGTTCACGTTAGCTTACGTTACAACGTGGAGCCCAGTAATATTCAGTTGACGTCAGCTTACGTTACAACGTGGAGCCCAGTAACATTCAGTTCACGTTAGCTTACGTTACAACCTGGAGCCCAGTAACATTCAGTTCACGTTAGCTTACGTTACAACCTGGAGCCCAGTAACATTCAGTTGACGTCAGCTTACGTTACAACGTGGAGCCCAGTAACATTCAGTTGACGTTAGCTTACGTTACAACCTGGAGCCCAGTTACATTCAGTTCACGTTAGCCTACGTTACAACCTGGAGCCCAGTTACATTCAGTTCACGTTAGCTTACGTTACAACGTGGAGCCCAGTAACATTCTGTTGACGTCAGCTTACGTTACAACGTGGAGCCCAGTAACATTCAGTTCACGTTAGCTTACGTTACAACCTGGAGCCCAGTAACATTCAGTTCACGTCAGCTTACGTTACAACCTGGAGCCCAGTTACATTCAGTTCACGTTAGCCTACGTTACAACGTGGAGCCCAGTTACATTCTGTTGACGTTAGTTTACGTTACAACCTGGAGCCCAGTTATATTCAGTTCACGTTAGCTTACGTTACAAATCTGGAGCCCTGTAACATTCAGTTCACGTTAGCTTACGTTACAACCTGGAGCCCAGTTACATTCAGTTCACGTTAGCTTACGTTTCAACCTGGAGCCCAGTTACAATCTGTTCACGTTAGCTTACGTTACAACCTGGAGCCCAGTAACATTCAGTTCACGTTAGCTTCCGTTACAACCTGGAGCCCAGTAACATTCAGTTCACGTCAGCTTACGTTACAACGTGGAGCCCAGTAACATTCAGTTGACGTTAGCTTACGTTACAACGTGGAGCCCAGTAACATTCAGTTGACGTAAGCTTACGTTACAACGTGGAGCCCAGTAACATTCAGTTCACGTTAGCTTACGTTACAACCTGGAGCCCAGTTATATTCTGTTCACGTTAGCTTACGTTACAACGTGGAGCCCAGTAACATTCAGTTCACGTCAGCTTACGTTACAACCTGGAGCCCAGTTACATTCAGTTCACGTTAGCTTACGTTACAACCTGGAGCCCAGTTACATTCAGTTCACGTTAGCCTACGTTACAACCTGGAGCTCAGTTACATTCTGTTGACGTTAGCTTACGTTACAACCTGGAGCCCAGTTATATTCAGTTCACGTGAGCTTACGTTACAAATCTGGAGCCCAGTAACATTCAGTTCACGTTAGCTTACGTTACAACCTGGAGCCCAGTTACATTCAGTTCACGTTAGCTTACGTTACAACGTGGAGCCCAGTTACATTCAGTTCACGTTAGCTTACGTTACAACCTGGAGCCCAGTTACATTCTGTTCACGTTAGCTTACGTTACAACCTGGAGCCCAGTTATATTCAGTTCACGTCAGCTTATGTTACAACCTGGAGCCCAGTTACATTCTGTTCACGTTAGCTTACGTTACAACGTGGAGCCCTGTAACATTCAGTTCACGTTAGCTTACGTTACAACCTGGGCACCGTTTCACAAAGCTCTCGTAAGCCTAAGATCTCGTAGCTTTTCTCGTAGCATTCGTACCTCATATGTTACAGTATAGGAGGTACGAATGCTACTATAAAAGTTACGAGATCTTAGGCTTACGAGAGTTTTGTGAAACGGGGCCCTGGAGCCCAGTAACATTCAGTTCACGTCAGCTGACGTTACAATTTCTGGAGACGTCACGCTTTACCTCAGGTGCCGCATCTACATAAAGTAGTCGTAACTTATATTTTGTATCACAACACATTGGATTTATTCCCCCGATCATACAAGGGATCATATTCTACTTAAGATTTCCACTATATACTGTTCCTTGGTAGGGCCAATAATACTCTAATCTTTGTCTGGGTAGATGGATTTAGGAGTAGTAATCGGATTGCAGGATTCCGACAGTTTCACCTATTGTGACCAGGGACACGCCGACATTTGCATAGTCCTGCTATAGTGCTCTGTAGGCTGTTTGCCTGTCATAGAACTGCTGAAGGAATACTCTGTGCTGCACGACAAGGTACTGGGATTCACGTACTGGTTCACGTATGTAGTACACTTTGCAGAATATATATAATATGTGTATTTGTTTCTTATTGAACACGATGACTGTATCATCAAACGTTATATTGTCTGGAATGGTTCAGATAGTTAATGTTTTTCATCCCCAAATGCGCAATAAATATAAATTATATATTCTTTCATTTCTAAATACTGAGGAAACAAAGAAGGGAACACTACTTCATGGCAGTGTTCCTTTATTTATTCTCAGATTTCCTCCCACAACGCTATTCAAAACTGGTGGTGGAACGTTCAAAGAACGCTTGAATTTTCCTGTGTTCCTTTATTTGTTACTCTCAGTATATAATAAACAGTGACGTGTGCCAAATTTTCCTTTTCGTAGACTACATGTCTGTCTACTATACTGCGTTGTGAATAAGGGGGATTAATTGCTGATTGGACAATTTTTAGAAACAAACTGACAAAATGACTGTTTGCCATCGCTTGTATCAGACCAAACTAATTTATCTAGGGAGATGAGCAGAGGAGGAGCAGACGTCTTGTAATAACATGTTACCTTTCTTCAAATGTTACTCTTACTGCATCGATAAATGAATCACACATTAATATTATCCCGTACGGATGTAACTACCAGCAGACTTTATGTTTTATTTCAGGCACGATGGATGATATGTCCCCGGAACAGATTAAGGGTTTGTCACCTGCTGTTACAACACAAAGTCACAATTGAGCTGTGCTTATCATTGTTACATTGTAGCTGAATGTATTCTTAATCTGACGAAAGCTGTGATGTCATCTCAAGATCACCATAACGAGATAGAAAATATGGAATACGTGTTTCATGTAGCCCAAGTATTAATTTCACAAGGTCACAGACTACCTGTCTGGTTGATCCGATACAGTTACGTTCGAGAAGTAACAGCCGGGTCCATTCCATCTCACACTACTGGATCGGGTCCAGGTATCATTGTGTATGTGACATGTACCCCGAAGAACTGCTAGGTCGTGTGTAGGTCATTGTGCATGCCACATGTACCCCGAAGAACTGCTAGGTCGAGTCTAGATCATTGTGTATGTCACATGTACTCTGAATAACTGCTAGGTTGTGTGTAGGTCATTGTGTATGTGACATGTACCCCGAAGAACTGCTAGGTCGTGTGTAGATCATTGTGCATGTCACATGTACCCCGAAGAACTGCTAGGTCGTGTGTAGGTCATTGTGAATGTCACATGTATCCCGAAGAACTGCTAGGTCGTGTCTAGATCATTGTGTATGTGACATGTACCCCGAAAGAACTGCTAGGTCGTGTGTAGGTCATTGTGAATGTCACATGTACCCCGAAGAACTGCTAGGTCGTGTCTAGATCATTGTGCATGTCACATGTACCCCGAAGAACTGCTAGGTCGTGTGTAGATCATTGTGCATGTCACATGTACCCGGAGTAACTTTTCATGAAGTATTTGATAGATGTTCAGCATGGAGATGAATGTATTTGTTCCATGTTCATGTTGACAGAGATCAGGAAATCGTTTTCCCTTATCGATGAAAATGGAGATGGGCGCATTTCCTCCCACGAGCTGCTGAGAGCTTCTCGCCTACTGGGAATGAACCCAACGATTCAGGACGCTGAAGCAATGATTAAAGAAGTGGACCGAGACAGTAAGACTTACCTCCCCTACTATAACAAGCTGAACCACAGAAGACCATATGAAGAGTACAAATAGAACGTGTTCCCATATGCTTTTGAACATTTTCCAATTCGCAAACTCGTCAAACTATTGGCATACAGACTTTTGTAGTTCCTAAAGGAACCATAAGCCTCAGTATTTTAATTTACAGATCTAACACAATTAAGACAGCTAAATTCATGCATAACATATTCGTCAGAGTACATTTCAGACACACTCACACACACACAGATAGACAGACAGTCGGTCAGACAGACAGACAGATACTCAGATAGATAGATAAACAGATAAATGGACAGATAGATAGATAGAGAGTGGGTGATATGAGAGATAGGGAGAGAGATAGAGAGAGCAGTCGTAGTATACTGTGTCTCGGTGGGGTATCCATTTTAATTTCCGATGAACCGTATTTTGGGGGAGAGAGAGAGAGAGAGAGAGAGAGAGAGAGAGAGACACAGATAAGGTATTATAATCGTATGTGTAATGGATAAAGCGGGACTACAGAAGATAAGTGTTGAAGTTGATTATGACGTTTTCCCGCAGACAGTGGCTATATCGAGTTTGACGAATATGCCGTGTTGATGTCGAAACGTGTGGGCGCGATGGAGCAGGAGTTGCGGCACCTGAAGGAGGCCCTGGAGGTGCTGGACACCCACAAGGATGGGTTGATTGACGTGGACATGCTGAAGCAGGTGGTGATGATGGTGGGAGAAAGGCTGACGGAGAAGGAAGTTGACATGGGACTGAGCGAGGTCACGATACACCCCGGAAACAAAATAAAATATGAAGGTACGATGCTTTTATATCTACTCGATTTACAGTGTAGAGAACATTAGAACATAGAGATTCAAATTGATAGTAATAAACTCAGTTGCTGATTAAAATGAATAATAGTAAATTCCGTTGTTAAATATACTGATTAAAATGTATAGGGATACGTTCAGTTGTTGAATATACTGACTAGAATGAATAATAGCACATTCGGTTGTTGAACATTTAATTAACATATAGTAATACATTCAGCTGTTGTCTATATGGATAGGAAATGATACTATTACACTCAGTTGATGAATATAATGATTAAAATATACATTGATATATTCAGTTGATGCATGTAGTAATGATAATGCAGTGTAATATATTCATTTGTCATTTCAAATAAACAGGATATATGCCGATGAGGACATACTCAGAATATTTATTCGCTTATCACATGCCTGCAATTCACATGCTCTCTCACTTTCATAGAATTCATAGGATTCGCCTTTGAAGATCCGGTTTAGAATTTATCTTCAGCAACCATGATTGTCTTAAGAAGTGATCGGGTGGTCAGGTTCACTGACATGGTTGATCCACCCATGTCATCGTATCCAAGTTGATTAGACCAATGCTCATTCTGTTGATCACTGGATTGTCAGGTGCAGACTTGATTATTTACAGACCGCCGCCATACAGTTGGAATATTGCTGAGTGTGGCGTTAAACAACCAACCAATCAAAGCGGATTCAAGAATCGTTTTTCAAACTTCTTGTTGCTTGGTTTCAGAATTTGCAGAGACGTTGTGTAAAAGGCTGCTGTGAGACATGAAACAGATATATCCTCATGTCTTCTCGAATTCGCTGCCAAGACATATCAGACTCACATACACCTTTACGTATTACTTCCATAATCAGTGGCTTATAGTGATAGTACAATAAATAGTATTGTCTGTATGGCTACATGTTTTCATTGTCAAATGTCTGTAATTGATTATGGTGTTGAAGAACGTCTTTTTCTATCTGTCAGAAGACTGGACAGTCACTGAAAGTTAACTTTCGAGTAAAACATCTTTAAACTCACAATTTGAAACCAGATGCCATGCGTCATCAGTGATTAGACATAAAACATGAGTGAGTGAATGAGTGAGTGTGGTTTTACGCTGCTTTTAGCAATATTCCAGCAACATCACGGCTGGGGAAACCAGAAATGGGCTTCACACATTGTACCCATATGGGGAATCGAACCCGGATCTTCGGCGTGACAAGCCAACACTTTAACCACTAGGCTACCCCACCGCCCCACATTAAACATGGTGATTCCGGGAAAGAACATATGCTCCTAGCAACCTATGCTTGTTTTAAGACGGGACTAATGAATAGGGTTGTCAGCCTTATAATCACTGAAGCTCATGATGTCAAACACAGGATTGGCTTGTCTAGACATGATTATTACCAGATTTAATTCAACCATATCCTGTTTTAGGTCAAATGCCGTGTAAGGTTATTATTATATGTTGGTATAATATAGGACAGCCTCTACACAGCTCCCGCAATCAGGATGGTGAGCCACATGACAGATGTGCATATCTTACATCTTTATCGCTGATGACAGATACACATTGCCGCAAGGGATCTCCTCAGTGTTAAAGCTCTCCTTTGTCAAGTAAACAATTACTCTTTAAATAGTCTACCTTAAGTCTCTGTTTGGGCGCGTATAGACAAGAGATTCCTCGGACACATGCATCAAATATAGTGCCATGTAGACCTTTATAAACAAGGAACGTTAAAATATTCAAAAAGGGACAAAATCCCATATTCATATTATATTTTTCGGAATGGATTTAGAAGGATTAAGACCTATTTTGGTCGACTGAAAGTGTTATCTTAAACTAAAAAACGAAAGCGACGTTTACGTAAGCTTGAAATCTATCAGACATGTTCTGTTGACGTTTTGTCGAAAACCTGTCAACTTCAATCTACATATATTTGTACAGAGTTTCCAAAGCTACATATATTACACGTTGAGTTAGTTACATTAAGGCACGGATTGCATTCACAAGATTTAAAATATTTTACCGTTTCTGAAATGATTTAGGCCCCATGAAGTTACTTCCGAAAACCTGAAGATTAAGCAGGGAATTTCACCTTTCCAAACCAATCTACATATATCCATTTGGTACAGTTATATTTCCAAAGCTTACATTACTGACGTTACTTTTTAATGCATTAAGGCAATAATTGCATTCATAAACGACTTTAAAATATTAGATGACTCACTGTTTCTTGAAATATTAGATCTATTTAATGAATTATGCATGCCAATATATTAATACAAAATATCTCACCTGTACATCATGTACATTAGCTTTTAATGAATTATGCATATTACTTTAAGCCGTACGTATCACGGCTTGGTATATCTGCAATATTGTAATCTTGGGAACCAATAAAAAAAATTTAAAAAAACAAAAAAAAACTATAAAGTAATATACATTGTGGTGGAAGTACATGCTCATTTATCTCTCACATGACTGGATAGCGTGGCTTGTATTCTCATAAATAAAGAAGACCTAATTAATTATCATATACATGTATACAATTCGTGAAACCTTCGTCTTTGATTAACAAAGCAAATCTGGCTAGTGTTTATCCTCCGCATCAACACTCACCAATCAAAGGCCCACAACGATCAAGTACACAGGAAGGTCTGGAAGTGTGGAACCCAGCCTGTTTACCCAGAGGCTCGAACTCAAACACACTTAATCCTTTAAGTAAACAAAGCAAGTAGGTCAGACAAGAAGTCGGGATTCCGCTTTAGTTTAGGAAGTGGATTTACGAGACACCAAGCTCATCAACATATGCACATGGTCTGAGATACATTGTAAACAGAGGCAACGTGAAATAGACACGATCTTTTCAGGGGCCTGAAACTACAGAGCTTCAAGGCTTATCAAACTTGTCTTCAACACAGACTCATTTCATACGTAGATCTCATTAGCTTATATGTTTATTTTTCACATGCAAGATTAACAAACGTTAATCAAAAGTGTATCTTATTGGGGAAACGCATGTCATTTCATATAAGTGTTATCAAAATTATATCAATGACTGTAAATGTAATGACAATATCATATTGTGAAATAGACATTTATACACTCCATTCTTTCCACAATGATTAACAATGACTGACTGATATGATATGATATGTATTTACATGTATTCTGTATTTCGGCCTCACAGCCTAGAATACAATTGTATTTAATAGAACACATGTCACGTGGTGAACAATACAGCAATATTTCTATTTCCATTTACATCTCAATAGAAATACATTTTTAAGAAAAATGGCGAGTGCTCGTAAAGTATCCTCATTATTTGTATGTAATATATTACACAAGAGTTTCACTGAATAGTGATTAATATTAGATAGACTTGGGAGATATTTTAATCTCAGGTCATGATACGTTTTACGTAGGTTATTAATATTAAAATCATGAAGCCTATTCTAAATTAACATAAGGCTGTTAGCAAAGACCTATCCGAGAGACACATTAAATATATTTCAGGCTGCAACAAAGACTTAATGCTGCTATAATTACTTAAATAGTGCGAAGATGATATAAAACTATGCCAATTTTGGCAATCAATATCTTTCAACCGTTGTTTGAATATAGTTGTAAACAAGATAGAATCACCCACACTTTGTGATAACCAAACGTGGGTAAAACCTATGTGTGAAACAGCAAATTTCTGAGATTTGACACCCAGTTTTGCTTTTCAGCATCATCTAATTTTTTTAACATTATATAGCATTGGTATGGATATCTAGAGCAATTCATATGCAGTGTTTTATCCAGTATTTTATAAGCCTTATCTGTGTTAAAACAAACATCGTGTGGCGCCCTGTTTCACCAAGTATATCCTCTTTGGATGCGAATTTGCCAACCTGTAAGAAACGTTTTATTATGTGTGTGAAATTTTGCTATAACTTCAAAGTATCTTGCCCCCATAATTCAGACCCACACAGTAAAATTGGTGAAACGTTGCTATCAAATGTTTTACAAGCTTCAGGAAAGGATATGCAACTATGTTTTCGAAATAATGTGAACAGAGGCATCATTGCACGTGAAGCTTGAGCTGCAAGCGTTTGACATGCTTTTGCTGATGAAAATAGAATACCTAAATACTTATAATATGGTAAAAATTTTAGATTTTGGAACCCAGCTTTCACGTTTAGCAACAATGCCTCCATTTCTGAATACAATAACATTGGTTTTGTCTAAATTGACATGAAATCCACATCTTTCACAGAAAGATTGGAACACTTTTAATTGCTTTTGCAACCCTGAAACAGTATAAGAGAACATTGTAACATCATCGGAAAACAAAAGTAGCATTACGTGTATATCATAAATATTCCGTGTAAAAAATATACCGTGATCACATTTATCATACATTTCAGTCAAAAGCTCATTTATGAAAAAGGTGGAAAGTATAGGACTAAGAACACAGCCTTGTCGAACACTTGTTGATACTCGTTCTTTTTTAGTTTGATCTCACACATGATTTAACTAATGCATACATATTCTCAAGTACATTAAACATTTTCCCATGACAACCCTGTTTGAAACTGACAGAAACTGGTTTCTGTCGACATAGTCAAAGGCATTTTTAAAGTCAATAAATACACAGAAAAACCTACCAAGTGGTTTGCACAAAAAAAATAATTAGAGATCAATGCTTGCAGGGTGAATATATTGTCGGTGGTAGAGTAACTAGACCTAAAGCCAGCTTGGGCTTCGGATATTAAGCCGTTCAGTTCTATCCAAGCCCTCAAATGTTTTTCTAAGACTGTTTCCAAATATTTTCCCCATAACGTTCAATATAGAAATCCCCCCGGTAATTGTTAGGGTATGACTTATCTCCTGACTTATGGAGTGGAACAATCATACCTATATTCCAAGCTGTAGGAAAGTTTCCACATTCAAATATTTTATTAAGTAAAACATGAAGATAATATATGAGCACGTCACTGGAACAGTTCAGGAACTCCGGTGGTATTCCATCTTCTCCTGAAGCTTTTCCGCTCTGTAGGTAATTTATAGCATCATCTGAACAGGTATCACGTGTATGAGAATTATTAAAGTCTTTCACTGTCTGAATGGGATCTGATTAATGTCGCTTTGAGTTGTATGACGACTTTGAAATAAGATAGCTGACGCCGTGTCAGCCTAATGCGGGAACTGAGGCCAAACTGATGCAAGTCTCAAATGTTTAAATTACCACTTTGGTGAAATCCACGAGCACTTTTATGGTGCTGACAAGACTAGAAACATAACTGGAGCAAATCGGGATTCGAATCCATTGTCATGGGTGTCTTGTTAGCTCAAAGGACGCAATTTAGTTCCGTAATATCAATTTGATGTAGAAGTACCAAACATATGTCATTTGAACTACCCGTGAAGACCCTGTTGGAATTGGTCTTCAGTAACCCATGCTTATCGTAAGAGCCGACTAACGGGATCGGGTGGTCATACTCGATGACATGTCATATGTCATCGTATCCCAGTTCTGAAGATCGATGCTCATGATGCTGATTACTGGATTATCTCGATTATTTGCAGACCGCCGCCATATAGCTAGAACATTGCTGAATGCGTCGTTAAACACACAAACAAATTATGTCAATTCCGTGACTGGCGACTCCATTGTGATGACCTAAGGTCAGATTATGTCCTGCCACTTTCCTGATTGTAATTCACAGATAAGTTACTCCAGCCTCAGCGTATGTGTCGACTAGTTAAAGAATGTTTAATAACGTTTTTAAATCTTATCTAGTTTCCAATATCATCATCGCTTTGATAATCCACAGATATGGTGGAAACTTTATACGGGGAATCACAGACGGTAGATAGCAATGAATGGAATAACGTCTCTTCCGTGTTGTACGTGTTAAAACAGCTTGTAGTCACATAAATAGTATCAAGTACATGATGCTCATATTATCAACCACTGGTTGTCAGGCCAAGGTTCGATTGTTTACATAACAATAATCTAGAGGTGGAGTGAGTATGTTTTTATGCCGCATTTAGCAATACTCCAGCAAAATCACGGCAGGGACACCAAATGGGCTTCACACATTGTATCCATGTGGGGAATCGAACCGGCCTTCGGCGTGCAGAGCCCATCTTCTGGTAGAATGTAAGCAGAGCGAGTATGAATTTGTATTTGCACTAATTTCTCCTTCATCAACATCGTCATGCAGATGTTTTTGGAGTGAACAGTTAGAAATATATGATCGTGCTATGGTGGTAGCGTCCAGTTATTACTTAAGCAACATGTGACTATATGTTGTATGGGCTTGGCAGAGTGTGATACATGTACACTATAACCAAACATGGCGATATGCGTGACGAAATATGCTGCTATATACGGAGGAATGTGACACACGACGACCACATCTCCGTAGCAGCCTGCAGTGCACATGTCAACATCGTGACATAAGCACGCGACATTTGAGAGAGCTCACCGGAGACCGTCTACAATCATCTGCACACAGTAGCACACTCCAGACTCATGCAATATATCTCAGCGCTCTCCCATTGTTGCTGTCACTCCAGGTTGCAAATTAATGTGTGACACGCCTGGTTTTAACATGAACGCCGTACAACACAAATATGTGTGAACGTTCATATATTTGAAAGTATAGGCTTCCTGATCAAATCCACGTTGACTTTCGTCTTCAACCTCATCTGTTTGTTCGATATATATACATGTATGTGGTAAATATTTATAAACGAATTATACTCCTGTCTGGAAACTTAGGTTGGTAAAGTAAAAAGATAAAAACTGTTTACCTTACAAATGTGAAATTGTGTTTACTGTATGTCAGTCAAGTGTGTGTAGGAAACGCAAAATATGTGTTTCTTTGCTTCTATTAATGAAAGCATAAATACTAAAGCACATTTATACATCGTACTCTCGCACACCAAAGCTGATCATAAGTCCAGCCACAGTTCTTACAACAGCACACTTAAAACTGATCCTTTCAATCTGCTGCACATCTCAACATTCAAAAGGGATAACAGACGTTTAACAGAGCCTGTGTGAGGAACAAATAAACAAGAAGACATAACTTGAAATGTAGCAATAAGTTTTTTAAATAATACAATTAGTCTGTGTTAAATCTCCAGTCCATTTAAACACTTGTACCATTCAAATCTTCAAAGAAGAGAAGGGCAAAGAGTTTCTGAAACCTCCCAATAACTATGAACATAATCGGTTGATGAAGAGGCTCCCGCAGAGTTTGATGGTTACGCTACAGAAATCAAGTATCACTACTTGTACATGAAGCATCCTTTCTACATATAGTCTGGTACGAGACGTAACACCACAGTATTAAATATTTCCCCCAAGTTGCAAAGATACGTCAAGTATAAATTGATATTTATCTCTGAAAAATATATTTTAGGAGAAACAATCAGCTTCATGTAACTTGAGACCCAGCCATAGTGAACCAGAGGAAAATGTAGACTTGCTTCATTTAAGGCTGTTGCATTACAGTAAGGGGTGGGCAGAGGGGGTAAATAATATGGTTCAGGGACTGTGGGGCAGACTTGGCAAGGTATTGGGGACCGTTGTGGAAGTTTACAGATCACTGAGAGTAATCACTCCAATGACACTGGTGACATATTGTAGTCTCTTGTCCGCTTCACTGACCCTGTGTGTAGTGACTACACGATATGACAGAAAAGGGCTGACTCACTCTACCCCTATAATTTAGGAATATGGTAACGACTGTCAATGGGTCTGAAAGCATGATGCATGTAATTTGAATCGGAGAAAGCTTCCGTGTATTATGACGTCACATTCCGCTGTCGAGAGACACAATTGACGACCGTACGCTACGTTACCTCTGCACTATAGTCTTTGCGAAACAACTCTATAACTATAACTGTCTCGTGACTCGTCAACGAATGCAGTCTTCCATGAAGTGGCACTAAGGTCACTAGGTTTGAAGAGAAATCAACTCTCAAATGTTACTGACTGATGTCAACTTTTGGCTTTATCATTTGATCCCTCTGTCAGGGTCACCATAGTGAAGTTTCTGAACAATTCGTTTTTGTCGTCACCTACTGAATGAAAGTAGCCATTATAAAATATCATAACTGAAAGAGACTTCATGCAGGGGCGGATACAGCTTTTTGAGAAAGGTGGGGTGCACACTTCACTTTCACCCGAGTTTCAATGGTCATTTAATAAACTTTCAGGACAAAAGAGGGGGTGCGCACCCCTGCACCCCCCCTCTGGATCCGCCTATGTCATGTATCGCGAACCGTATTGGACTGTAGACATATCTGTTACCAAAGGCTGAATTAATTTGAAATCAGCAAAATATTTTTTTTATTAAAATTATTATTATTATAGGATATGTATATAGCGCACATATCCACGCACTAGTGCATGCTCAAGGCGCTGGTATTGTTTCCCTCGATCATTGGATGTCAATCTCAACGGCACATCGCATTATCAATCTCAACTCCCTGGCAATCAGTTTTATCATTTAGGTATTTCAGCTACATCAGACACAGGTTACAGAGCCTATGACAACGACTCGATAACGGTATAAGAAATCGTCATCCTTCAAGTAGCATTGTTATTCACCAACTTCTATAATGCCAATCAAACAGATAATCAAAGACTGTTTCCCCAACGGTAGATAAATATATACGTCAGACAAACATGTCACAGAACTGAGGTATAACAGAAACTATACCCCTCGGATGAATTTATAAAATTGTGTTCTTGTATCCAAACAATAAATGCGCTGTCGCTTAGTCAGCACTCACAGAATACACATGGTTTAATGCTTTGTTTGATTTTGTTTTAAAAATAGAAAAATATACTTTTGCATAAATCTCTGCTGATGGTCACCTCAGAAAATCTTCATGGAAAATGAATAAATGTGCATCTTCCTGTGCTTGTTTACATTTCAAACATAGTATACAAGTGCCTTTGCATTTGGGTTTCTTACCCAGTTTTTATTAAACCAATACGTTTTAACACACATTTACCCAGCCACAGATTACTTATTACACAAGGTTGAAGGAATGAGCGATGGTAAAAAAGACATAATCAAATTAAACAAGAGTTCAAGTTTGCTTAGGACACTCAACCTGTCCAGTCAATCCATTTCCGAGCTACTGACAATAAGCCCCGAAACCTCATAATTTCTGTACCGTTCCTAAGGAATTCAGTCCAGCAAATGTTCACACATACAAATCAACATCTAGAGTAGGCTACTAGATAGTCGACACAACTTACTGAAGTCTGTGGCCGAAACTGGTGGGATTCTCTGACCTCCGTTGTATTGTGTATGAAAAGACAAGACAAGAAAATCTTCCAAACTTTTAGTCAGAGTTGTATAATATGACGCTTATATATTATAGTTATATATACGTTGGTGAACGGAATGGCTCGGAAAGCGGGGTTCCGGATTCTGGAAGTGCAGAATAACTCCCGCTCCTACTTCCCCCACGTAACTGTGATATACACCTTAGCGACAGTGCAACTGTCAATATATTAAATTTCATTTTAAAAGGCTGCTCTTTACTCGTGTTAAGGGCCTCGTTATCTTATCAGTGGCAGCACCGTATGCACGACCTAAGAAGGGTGTTTTCATTCAAGTTAGATTTCTTTCAGCCTCTATATACCCTTCTACCCGTAACTGGCGCAGATGTTACCCGCCCTAATAACGCCGCTATGTGAACCACTCCCGCCTTTCATACACGTGTATTTGGAGAAGCTAAACTGCTTCCCCGCCAGCAAAGAAAACAATTTATAGTGAATGTCCATTTAACGGTCATAGAAAGGGGAGGTAACTGATGTTGGACTCCTAAAATAATATTTGACTCTTGAGCGGAAGAAACGGTGTGTATTCATTGGTTAGAGAAAGTTAATACATAGCTCACTGTCAAACGAAGCTTGGTGTGACGTCACCTAATTCAATTAAGTGATTGGCCAAAACATGTGTCACCTTTATCCAACTGTCGTACACCACCCTACCTACCCACACAAATCCTCTTAGCCCGATCTACGTTAATTCACAGCGTTAAGCCCTAAGGCAACACCAGGTAGACGAGTCAATCGTGAGGGGTGAGAGAATCGTTCAATCTCTGTGTACACAATAACCTAAGTGTTTCTCTGAACGTGGGGTGAATAGGCCTGGTCTTCCTCGTGAGAGCGCCACATCGAATAGTGACGACACTTTAAGGAGTTTCAATGATGGACAAAAATGTGGGCGTGTCAATATCGAGTGGTTATTAATCGGTTCAGCTGATATAAAGCAAGCGCTTGTGAAACAGGTGTAAAACCGCAGTGCACGTGTGTGGACCGAGCACCATGGCTGAGGAGAGCTGTGTATCTATGTACATCGCCACCGGCGTTGTCACCGTCACCGTTCTGCTGTGGTATTTACGACGAGCAAAGACCAGGTAAATATCCCTTTTCACCTGACATTGTTGAATAGTCGATGGTTCTTCCTTAGTAATCTTCAGAAATCTCTTGTTGCGGTTTCTATTACTTTGATTGTGGCAGGCTTCGGGAGCAGTGTTTAAACCCGAGCATAATAAATCACCTGTTGTACTATGTAAGGTGAAGTGGGGTTTAACGTTTTACTTAGCAAATTTCGCTCACATGACGACGTGCATGCGTGTGTATGTGTGGCTGATTGTACTAGCCAGACTTAAGTTGGTTTTACAGTGCTAGCTCACTGAGATGCCATGCCGCAGTTAAGCATGAATACCTCACTCAGACATATCATACTGACTCCGAGCCGACCAGTCCTTGTTATACCTATCAGAGACCATATAATAGATATGGTCTCTGTACTCATTAAGTAGGGACCAACAAGTGCCATATTTTAACGTCTTTTGGTATGACGCGGCTTGGGATCGAACCCGCGACCGCGAACTCTCCGGGCCGACGCTCTAACCACTACACAACGGAGACGGTTCTGCTGTACTATGGCTAAGGGAGGATGTCTGTATCGTGTTTTCCTGACCCCCATTTTATGATTTTATGAAACATCAGGTATGTGTTACATTTCTCCACACCACCTCAGCCACGATATGTCTATTAATGTTTCTAACTTTGTTATTGGAAAAAGCAGAACTGTGTCATTTTGTGCAAATAATTCAAGCGTTTGCTCACCACACCAGGTTGACTCTCAAAATGTGTACACTGTTTGTAACAGGCTCTCAGTATCAACAACTGTGATATTGCTAAAATGATTGTATTGTATTGATGGAGTAATGCTAATTCGGAGTTTCCACACAACAACTCACCCTTTCACCTGGTTCAAACACAATCCAAATCTGTGTTTAGTAAATGTACAGAAGATATTTTATATTGATGTTGTAAATAATGTCCTCCTTGTACTATGCACATTATTATATTAGCAGTAGGGAAACATGACTTGGTCAGTGGTATTCGTCCTTCCTCCCTAACTGTTCAAGTTACGAGGAAAAAGATAACAGCACATGTGATGTCAGCATTTATGAACATTTCTCATGGAGATAATGACACCTTTTCTGTGGTGATCTCTATTCTAATCAGTACTATGAAACGTGACATGGGAATAATCGGTCTTAAACGTAACTTGAGAGTAACTGTTCCTAAACGTGACATACTAGTATGTAAATATCTGGTTAGAAACGTGACCTGACAGTAACTCTTCGTAAACGTGACATGTAAATAACTGGTTAAAAACGTGACCTGACAATAACTGTCCCTAAACGTGACATGTAAATAACTGGTTAAAAACGTGACCTGACAATAACTGTCCCTAAACGTGACATGTAAATAACTGGTTAAAAACGTGACCTGACAATAACTGTCCCTTCCCTAACTAAACGTGACATGTAAATAACTGGTTAAAAACGTGACCTGACAATAACTGTCCCTAAACGTGACCTAACTGGTTAAAAACGTGACATGTAAATAACTGGTTAAAAACGACATGTAAATAACTGGTTAAAAACGTGACTGACAGTAACTGTCCCTAAACGTGACATGTAAATAACTGGTTAAAAACGTGACCTGACAATAACTGTCCCTTCCCTAACTAAACGTGACATGTAAATAACTGGTTAAAAACGTGACCTGACAATAACTGTCCCTAAACGTGACATGTAAATAACTGGTTAAAAACGTGACCTGACAATAACTGTCCCTTCCCTAACTAAACGTGACATGTAAATAACTGGTTAAAAACGTGACCTGACAGTAACTGTCCCTAAACGTGACATGTAAATAACTGGTTAAAAACGTGACCTGACAATAACTGTCCCTTCCCTAACTAAACGTGACATGTAAATAACTGGTTAAAAACGTGACCTGACAATAACTGACTGGACCTGACCTGACCTGACAGTAACTGTCCCTAAACGTGACATGTAAATAACTGGTTAAAAACGTGACCTGACAATAACTGTCCCTTCCCTAACTAAACGTGACATGTAAATAACTGGTTAAAAACGTGACCTGACAATAACTGTTCCTAAACGTCACCTGACAGAGGCTGTTCCTAAAGAGACAGTTCTTAAAAGTCACATTCGAATAACCTATCAATGATAATAGGTTGCTTGAATCACTCAAAATCGTATCTGCATATATTTCACCCATGCTAAAATATATCATCACAAATCAGGGGGAGCACGATGTCGCTCTCAGCTATATTCCAGCAGTACCAGACAATCCAGTGATTGACGCATAATGTCGTATGGGTAAAATGACGCATAATTAACAATGCCACCTTGTCCGATCACCTGTAACCACTATCAATATTTTTCTGGTGATCGATTAAGACCCTGAAACTCGATTGTACAGCGACCCTGTTGTCTACGACGAGCTGCGCCCTTTTGTAGACGTATATTCTGATTTAATGTTTCAATAAGAATCTAATCATCTCTGTAGGGGTTATACACAAACAATCGTGTAGTCGTTGCCCCGCACAGGAACAAATCTTCATGGCTAGGACAGGTCACGTATACATTATCAATCAGCTGTAACGGGCCATTAGTGATTAACATACCACACTGAGTGTGTACATTCACACATGACTAATCAACAAGTGAGAGAACCCACCAAGGTGATCAATGGCTCAAGGTATATTGCACCTATAACTTCTCCCGGGGAGAGAAGTTCCTGATATTTTCTGATTAAACACCACAGAAGTGTGAATGTGTAATAATTAAACGACGCATTGAACAGTATTCAAGGTTTCTGACGATGAGTCACTTTGATGGGGGAGGAAAGCCCAGGTCTCAACAGTTTTCCATTTTGGTGAAACACACAAGCACGCGTATGGTGCTGACAACGTAGAAGCATAAACGCACCAACGATCATAGATTTCTGGCGTGTGCAAGGGACGCAACTCTGTAAGCCAGTTGGCCGACCACAGCGACTGGTCGGCCCGTTCAACCATCCCATGTTTTTCTATCGGAAAAAATATTCGGAATGGAACCCTTGTACCCAGTATCTGTCTTACTTTGAGGAATTGGGGAAAAGATCCTTCGGACCCCATGTTTGGACGAATAAGAAATAGGAATAAGCCCTGGTACCCATTCTTGTCTCCCTGTGAGGACTAACGAGGAGGTTAGAGCAGTGCCCATGGACCCTATATTTGTCTCTCTGTGGGATTTAGGAATCAGAATAGAACCCTCGTAGCACACGCCTGCCTCTTCGTGTGGATTCTGGAGCCGAAATCGTCACCGGCATGTTATACTTTTCTTCCCGTGGGAAGTACGGGACAGAATATGTTTTTCCTTCTAACGCCACAATTGCCTGTCCGTTTGGAGTGAGTGAGTGAGTGTGGTTTTACATCGCTTTTAGCAACATTCCTGCAATATCACGGCAGGGGACACCAGAAATGGGTTTCACACATTGTACCCATGTTGGGAATCGAACCCAGGTCTTCGACGTGTCGAACGAACGCTTAACCATAAGGCCACCCCACCGCCTCTCTCCGTTTGGACCAATCCAGGTAGGGTCGCCCTGGTTGTCTCCCTGGAAGACCTTTAATACATACATACGTCTTCCAGGGGTTCAGGGGCCGGGATATGTCCCTGGTATTCCACGAATGTCTTCTCTGTAAGGATTCGGTTCTTGATGCCCATCCCATTAAGGATATTAAGCATACGTTATCATAATCCACGCAGCCATTGTCGCACCATCTGTATCAGAAGCTTGCAGCGTGTGAAGTGGCTCATGGTGTGCCAGCATACCCCGATGTCTTAAGTCGGTGCTCTTGCTATCAACCACTGATTTACATTCTGTCTTGACGTAGTCTTAACACTGTCCATTGTCATCTAAAGAACATTATTTCACTTTCTAAATAGTCCCAACAAGCTGAAGTTGTTTTTACAAATATGAAATAATACAAATAAATGAATAAAGCATACAATATATATATATTTATATTTATGGTAATTCATCCAAGAAATACAAAATCCAAAAGAGTACAGAAAGGTTCAGTTATGCTGTTTTACTGAGTTATCTAACGCTGAACGACTACATTGCATTCCAATACTTTCGTAACGGTTCACTGTGCGCAAGGTCATTCCGTACATCATCGAGTTGAGTGTAGTGATAAGAGGCTGACAGAGAGGAAAGTTAAGTTAACATTTCCACAACACAGACCATGTGTGAGTCATTTGCTTAGTCTGAAACAGCATTACTGCAATCTTGCATCCATCATTATTACAAAACGGTGCCATTACCTGTTTATGGAGATTTCGAAACAAAACTTCCTTAAAAAAGTTTTTAAAGGAGTGTCGGTCGATCGTTTTCTGAGGCATATGTACACATCAATCGTGTTCTTAACAACCATTATGCACTTCAGTTATATCACAAGGAGGGTGCAATTCGTTAAACAAGCCGACCCCAGGAGGGCATGCTGAATACATTGTGAAACATGGAAAACATTTGCTCATTTGATATTTTGTATTCTGCGTGTATAAATGACCCTTCTTAAGGCCAGGGAAGGACTCTGCTCGGGCGTTGTTGCATACATAATCACACGCACCTGTTTTGTACAGGAACCACGTGCTGGAAGCTGGGATGTTCGGATAACATACTGCATCTGGTAATGTTTAGATCCTTCTGTTGTAATACTGTCCACCTCTTAATGCCTTGGATAAATCATACACATCAAACCATTATGTAAGAGGATGTTTGACATTTTTTATTTAAATATTTCCATTATAACCACTTGAAATTGGACCATATGCTCAAACACTTGAAACACATGCTTCTGTTGAAGAACAATGTAAACTTACACATTACTTGACAACTGGTGGGAACCAGGATATATTGCTGCAAAGGGTACAGGCCATATCCGGAAAGGCATATTGCAGATAACAGTAATCTTTAAATTGTGGAAAATATTATTATAAATGGGGTAGACCTTCTGATTCTGGGGGCAGTGGGGTAG